CATCTGGCCTCGCACCATGAGCATCAATCTGCTTAGAACCTCAGCGAGAAGAGTTGTTTTCTGTTTGGAGTGTTGCTTCTGTTTTCTCCAGTACTCCAGGCGAACCGTTCATGCTGCTTCTTACACACCTGGCCACTCCTCGAGCCTTCCAGTGACTGAATGGACACTGAACTTCCTCCCATCAGGTAGGATAACCCAACTCATTTTGTCTGAATGGTTGGTCTTTTCCTGGTAGTTAATACCTGTTGCTCTATCACCTTTCCTGACTGAGAACTCAACACGTTGAACTCTGAGACCTGGATTTGAATCCTGTCTGTTGCTTACTGGGTGGGATGATCTTAAGCAATTCACTTACCCCTCTCTAGTCCTCAGTTTCCCCACTTGTAAAATAAGGGAGCTAGACTAGATGGATCTTTTCTCCCCATGGTGTTTTGTATTAGTTTCCCAAACAGGGCTTTTGGAGCCTCTGAGTTTTTCCCGCAGTTCTGATTATTGAAACTAGATATTTTATTTCCAGCTTCTTCCCTTCTCCAGCCTAGGGAGATTTGATATAGGTTCCTTCTAGAAACTCTTGGGCACTGCCAATGGCCTGGGGCCCGCCTTATCATGACTGACAATATGACGCTGATCCTCTAGGAAACAGGCTTGAACATTTCATCTCTGTTTGGAAAAGGATTTTCATCTCCACCAGCCTTAGGAGTTTCTGTTTTTCAAAAGAATAAGATATGCCCGTAGTCTCAACCTTATTCTTGGCACTTCTATGCCAACCCACACATGTCAACCTGGCACTGGCAAGTTCTTGAAGCTTCTCCTCCCATACTCACCCCCCCATTTTGTGTTGGATTCTTGTTGATGAAACACAATATACGTTAAAAAAGCAAAGTTTTTTTCTCTATAGATCTTCAACATAATGGGAATATCACCTTCAAGGTACACAACTCTTTCTATCTTATGACAATGGCCTACCTCCCTCATTGCAGGATCTATTTGTCAGTGGTCTGCACCTTTGAGTGGAGTACAATGGAAAGAAAGCTAAATCTAGCATTGAAAGACCTGGGTTTACTTTGAAAGACTTAAGAACTCTGATCAATGCAATGGCCAGCCATGATTCCAGGGGACCAAGGATGATGAAGGATGCTACTCATCTCTTGATAGAGAGGGGTGGCCTCAGGATTTGGAATGAGGTGTATATATGTATATATATACTAAATATATATATATGTATATGTATTTAGTCATGGCCCATGTAGGGATTTTCTTTGCTTGACTATACATATCTATCACAAGAGTTTTATTTTTCATTATCTTTTTTTTTTCCAGTGGAAGGATAGAGGAGATGGGAGGGAGGGAAAATGAGTTTTTATTTACTGAAAAAAAGTAAAATGAAAACATTTTTAAAGTCTGGGTTGAGGTACCACATCACACCTATCACATTGGCCAACATGAAAAAACAGGAAAATGATAAATGTTGGAGAATATGTGGGAAAATTGGAACACTAATGCATTGTTGGTGGAGTTGTGAAATGATCCAACCATTTTGAAGAGCAATTTGAAACTATGCTAAAAGGGTTATAAAAATATGAATACCCTTTGACTCAGCAATAGCACTTCTAGGGCTGTATCCCAAAGAAATCATAAAAATGGGAAAAGGACCCACATGTACAAAAATATTTATAGCAACTCTTTTTGTGGTGGCAAAGAATTGGAAATTGAGGGGATGCCCATCAATTGGAGAATGGTTGAACAAGTTGTCGTATATGAATGTAATGGAATACTATTGTGCTATAAGAAATGATGAGCAGGTGGATTTCAGAAAAACCTGGAAAGACTTGTATGGATTGATGCTGAGTGAAGTCAGCAGAACCAGGAGAACCTTGTACACAGTAACAGCCACATTGTGCAATGACTAACTTTGATAGACTTAGCCCTTCTCAGCAATGCAAGGATCTGAGACATCTCCAAAAGTCTCATGATGGAAAATGCTATCCACATCCAGAGAAAGAACCATGGAGTATGAATGAAGATCGAAGCATACTATTTGCTCTTTTTTTTTTTCTATTTTGTTTCGTTTCCTCTTTCTTGTGGTTCCTCCTATTGGTTCTAATTCTTTTTTACAACATGACTAATGTGAAAATATGTTTAATAGGAATGTATATGTAGAGCCTATATCAGATTGCATGCTGTTTTGGGGAGGGAGGTGGGGAGGGAAGGGGGAAAAATTTAAAACTCAAAAGCTTATGGATGTGATTGCTGATAAATCAAAATGAACTAATTAATAAAAAAAGAGAGAAAGAAAATTTTTTTTAAAAAGTCTGGGTTGAAATCCTACTTCTGCCTCTTGCTTTGTAGATTGTTTTAGGCCAGTGACTTTCCCTTTCTTTCTCAGTTTGTGTAAAATAACTTTAAGTTGGCTCTAGATTATCTCTGAAATACCTTTCAGCTCTAACTCCATGCACAGATGAACTATCCTAGGGTCCTTGACTAGCAAGAACCTTCTCAGAGACTCAGGTCATCTTTCTTCTTCCTTTTTTGTCCCTTCTCAGCGGCTGGAGATTCCTTTGCACTCTCATACTCAGTTTGGAGCTCATATGCTCTGTCTTACTTTTTTGGGGGGGGGGAGGCTAGGCAATGGGGTTAAGGGACTTGCCCAGGGTCACACAGCTAGTAAGTGTCAAGTGTCTGAGGTCAAATTTGAACTCAAGTCCTCCTGACTCCAGGGCTGGTGCTCTATCCACTGCACCACCTAGCTGCCCCTCTGAATTACTTCTTTATAGAGGCAATGTCACCCAAGGTGACAGAAAGCAGGACTCTGGGTTGAATTCCCAGCTCTTCTGCACCAACGTGATGCTACCACTATGGAAGGACTTAGAAAAACCAGTTCTAACAGGAGGATGAGGAGGCTGTAGTGAAAACAGCGATCTTTTTTGAACCCTCAGAGGCCATCAACTTAGTGGATCACCTTGGTTGGGGGCAGGATGTTGGAGAAACTGGAATCAACCATTCCCTATACTGGTTGGTGGCCATACAACCTTCTTGTTGAGTAGTCATCTCTCAGGGCCCAGGTGTGGCATCTTATGGATTGAGCAAGTAGGAAGATCGATAGGCAAGTGACTTCTTCTTTCTGGCCTGGGCTGACTCTGGTGTTTCATACTGTATGTGCTAAGGCAGCTAGATGGCACAGTGGATAGATCTCTGGGCCTGGAGTCAGGAAGACCTGAGTTCAAATCCTCCACACTTCCTAGCTATGTGACTCTGGGCAAAACCTCTGTCTGATTCAGTTTTCTCCATTGTAAAATGGGGAGATAATGAGATGATATTTGCAAAGTACTTAGCATTGTGCCTGGCACTTAGTAGGTGCTTAATAAATGTTTATTCTCTTTCTTTCCCTCCCCTCCCTCTAGTATTCTGTGCTCTGTGTGTTAACAGTTCCTTCCATTACTGACATTCTATGTTCTACAGCCAGTAACATCCTACCGTGGAAGGAGTTTGCATCTGAAGTCAGATGATCTGGATTTCAATCACAGCTTGGTCGTGTACAACCTGTGTGACTTTGGACAAGTCACATCCTCTCCCTAAGCCTCAGTTTTCTCATCTACCAATCAAAGTCCTTGCTCAAATGATCCCGAGAGTACCGGAAGGGTTTTCGTTGGCCACACTAACCAGCAGGAGTGTGTGTCCCTGAATATGAGCAAGGGAGAATAAGGGTTGGGAGGAGAGGTACCTGGAGAACTATAGCTATGAGAAAGTGATAGTAGGAGCTAAGAGAGAAAGAAATGTTGTACTAAGAGATAAGAGAAAGGCAAACATTGGAGATAAGAGGGATAGATAGTAGGAGATTAGAGACCTGGAGACCTTGAGAAATAAGAGAGTAGAGGAGAACAGAGCAAGGGGGAAATCAGATGGGGGACAAGGGCAGTACCTGGGACATTAGACAGGAGAAAATAGAGTTCCCAGAAGGAAAGAGATAAGTGAGTGTATTAGTCAGCCTGCTGCTTGGGATCACATGTCTCAGGAATCAGCCTAAGAACCTTATTAGTCAGACTACTGATGGATAGGGCCCTGGATTTAGAGTCAGGAAGGCCCAAGTTCAAACTCTTACCCATACATTTATAGGCAAGTTGCTTAACCTGTTTCAGCTTCAGTTTCCTCATCTGTAATATAGAGATAATAGCACCAAACTCATGAGTTTATTGTGATTCTCAACCAAGACTTTGCAAACCTTAAAGGACTACACAAGGCAGCTGTATGGCACAGTGGGTAGAGCATGGGATTTAGGGTCAGGAAGACCAGAGATCAAATCCTGCCTCAGATATGTATTAGATGTGTGTTCCTGGGCAAGAGACCTAGTCCTATGTCCCTCAGTTTCCTCATCTGTAAAATGGAGAACAATAATAGCACTTACCACACGGGGTTGTCATGAAGATCAAATTGCGAAGTGCTTTGCAAACCTTAAAATATTCCATAAGTGTTAGCTACCCTAAGAGGAAGAATAATTGAGCAGAAAAAGTCCTAGACTTGGAGCCAGAGGACCTGGATTTGAATTCTGGCTCTGCTTCTTAATGCTCATATGATTTTGAAAAAAATCACTAAACCCTACGGTTTCCTCATCTGTAAAACCAAGGGTTTGATTAGCTCAGGGTTCTCAACTGGTGTTTTCTATCAAGGGCTGTATTTGACAGACTGGTCTGATCAATAGATCTCTTTTCAGAATTATACACACACACACACATACACACATATTTGATGGAAATGCTCCATTTTCGCTAGAGTTCAATGAAAATAAAAATGTAATTTTTTTTCCTATCCAAGTTCATAAGCCTGTTGAAGTCTATCCACAGACCGCTGGGAGATTCTTAGATCCCAGGTTAAGGCCCTCTGGATGAGAGAATCTCTAAGGTACCTTCCAGCTCTAGAAGTATAATCAGTAGTTCCTGATGAAATCAATGATGCCTGCAGTTCCATATACCAATCCTGCTAGGGATAAATAAGAGTCCAAAAAGTATCTGCCCTGACAATTTTATTAGTAAAAGCTGGGCTTACATGGGCCCTCAAAGGTAGGAAGGAAGGGTAAAGAAGTTGGTGAGGTATAGAGGAGTTACTATATGATAGCCAGGCCTCAAAGTTGGCTGCTTGAGGACCGGAAAGGGGAAAAGGTGGGCTGAGCTGGCCTAGGGCGTTCTGCAGCCTGGGAAAGTGCAAGCAAAGGGTGGGGTGTCAGGGGCTGGTCCTGCCCAGTGGTTCCCCCAAAACTCAGGAGTGGGGGTCATACACACGCCCCATGAAGACAGGGAACTTGTACTTCTGGTGCCACAGCAGGAAGATGAAGGGTTGCTTCACCTCGAAGATGGACATGGTTCGGGCTAGGGAGATGGTGGAGGCTGCTGACGCCTCCACCCCTGCTTCATTCAGCTCTAGCATGGTCTGGTGACGGGCAGCAGACACTTGGACCTCCGGGTCATCAGTCAGCCCGCACAGGTTGAGATCATAGGAGAAGTCAAAAAATTCTGGGCCGAAGATTCCAAGGGAGAGAAAGTCAGCGTCAGTGTGACTGGTGGGAGACCCAGGGGGCATCCCTACCCACAGATGGGGGACAGGCCTTGCCTTGTGCTCTCAGCCCTGAAGAATGAAGTCATTCCTGCATTCTCACCTCCCAACCCCAGGAAATGAGCTCATGAAGTCTGCCTCCAACCTCCCTCTCCAGTCTCATTTACATACCAGTCTAATTGGACTGCTACCTATTTCCAGAACTTGATATTCCACCTCCTTCCATTTGATATTCCCAAAGAGGCGGCTCAATCCCTCTGCCTCGAAGGCACTCCTTGATCAGCTTGATCTGCTTCTCTTTCTTTTTTTATTTTTTTAGGCAATTGGGGTTAAGTGACTTGCCCAGGGTCACACGACTAGTAAGTGTCAAGTGTCTGATCTGAGACCGGATTTGAACTCAAGTCCTCCTGACTCCAGGGCCAATGCTCTATCCATCGCTCCAACTAGCTGCCCCCTTCTCTTCCTTTAAAGACCAACCCAGGTGCTACCATCTCCATGCAGCCTTCCTCAATGGCCATAGCTAGAAGTGTTCTCTCCTTCCTGGAGTGTCCGTGGAACATTTGGTCTAAGCCTCTCCATAGCCCCCATCACACACTACCTCGTATTATACTACTCTGTGAATGTCATACCCCACAGGAAAATGTACACTCATTTAAGGATTGACCCATTTTTTTGTCTTTTTATCACTAGCGCCTTTACCCAGTAGGTGGTTAATCAATGTTTGTTGACTTGAATTGATTTGAAGTTAGATCACAAATGCTAATTCCTTGAGAACCTTCCAAAGAGGTTTTAAGTGATTGCTTCTTCTCCTCTATTGAAATCCTCCTAACCCTTAAAGTCCATCTCAAATCCAGCTACTTCCACTGTGAAGCCTCTCACTGGATCTCACCTAGCACTTTGTTAGATTTTAGACTATATCCTTGAGAGCAGGAATTAGTTTTCTTTCCCTCTTGCTTACTTTATGGAATTTTTCAATTAACAAGCACATATTTCTTTTTCTCTCTGTCCCACCCACCTCAAACAAGATAATGTTTGTAAAAGTACTTAGTACAGCCTGGCAGAGAGTGTCTGGTACTTAAATGCTCATTTCCTTCCTTCCACCCCCCAACTTAAAAGTCAAAAAGAAAAAAAATGTAGAAATTGTTTCATTCTTTTATTTGTATCCCCAGTGCCTAGCACATACAATGTCTGGCATATAGTAAGTGCTTAATAAATGCTCATGATTGATTGATAACTCTATTATGCTTAAGAAATATGATGTTTTCTAGTCAACTCTACATGTGTCATGACTCCTAGACTATAAAGTACTTGAGGACAAAGCCTTTATCTAAATTTTGTGTCTCCCTCACCACATCTGGAATGGGAGGGGTCTGTACACAGTTGGCATTTAATAAATGTCTGTCTGTGGTATATGTTGTGTTCTCCTCTTCCAATACACCGCAGTTCCAGCTTCCTGTGCCTCACTTACTCCTTCACTGTGGCTCCTGTCATTAGTCTACAAACATTCCCATCTCCTTTACCCAGAAAAAAGTCTTTGCTATACCCTCCTATCTCCTCCTCCTTTCTTACCAAACTCCTGGAAAAACAGACGTCTGTATTCCTTGCCTCTCCCCTCACTCACTTCTTAACCCTTTGCAAAAAAGGGTTCCACTGTTGGCACTCTGAGTTTTATTTTGTTTTGTTTTGGTTATTTTTGCAAGACCATGGGGTTAAGTGACTAGCCCAGGGTCACACAGCTAGTGAGTGTTTTGTGTCTGAGGCCAAATTTGAACTCAGGTCCTCCTGACTCCAGGGCTGGTGTTCTATCCACTTTGCCACCTAGTTGCCCCTTTCCCCCTGGTTTTGGTGACACTTCTCCCCCCCCAGGACTCCTGTTTGTCTTTTCTTTTTCAGGCTATTTTGTTGGCTCATGCATACCAAGTGCCTTAAGTGTGGGGGTACCTCAATACTGTTGTAAGACTTACTGTCTTCTCCCTCTACATCTCTCCTGATCACTTTGTCAACTCCCATGGGTTTCATTTTCATTTCCATGCACATGATTCTCTATGTCCTGCTCCAGTATCTTTTTTGGGCTCCACTCATGCATTTCCAATTGCCCAGTGGACATTTCAAACTGAATGGCTTATAGATATCTCAAACCCAGTAAGTTTAAAACTCAACTCATTGCATATTTTCCCCAAACCCACCCCTCTTCCAAAATTGTCTATTTCCGCTAAGGTCTCCCATATCCTCCCATCTTCCAGGTTTGCAACCTTAGTACTCTCTCTCTCTCTCTCTCTCTCTCTCTCTCTCTCTCTCTCTCTCTGTCTCCCCTCTCTCTCTCTGTCTCCCCCCTTTCTCTCTTTCTCTCACCCTTCCAATCAGCTGCCAAATATTGCCATTTCTACGTCCACAATCTTTCATATTAGTCCAGTTTTCACTGATCACACAGCCCCTCATCACTTCTTCGATGGATCATTGGTATGACCTTCTCATTGGTCTCTCTACCTCATGCCTATCCTTTCTTCAATCCATCTGCCAAAGTGATTTTCCCTAAGTATGGATCTGACTATGTTAGCTCTCTTACTCAATGAACAATGGTGGCTCCCTGTTGTTTCTAGGATAAAATACAGACTCCTCTGCTTGGCTTTTGAAGCCTTTATAACCTACCTGGAGCCTAGTAGTTTTCAATTTCATTATAAATGACTCTTCCTTCCCACAATCTGCTGTCTAGGCAGTGCATCTTATTCCTTCGTGCATTGGAGTATAGGCTTTGTGACCTCAGTGTCTAATACAATGTCTGGCTCATAATAGCCTTTTTTTTTTTTTTTAAGGTAATCAGGATTAAGTGACTTGTTCAGGGTCACACAGCTAGTAAGTGTCTGAGGCTGGGTTTGAACTCAGATCCTCCTGATTCCAGGGCCAGCTGCTCTATCCACTGTGCCACTTAGCTGCCCCTCATCATAGACTTTTAATAAGCGCTTGTTGATTGACTGATTGATTCCATAGATTACCAGCATGAAAAGGGATCCTCAGACATCCTTTCCATTCCGCCCCAGGCAAGGCTATACTCTTCCATGGGACTGGACCCAGTCCTGAAAGGCCCTAGGGACAGAGTCTGGAAGGGACTATAGCAATATATTCCTCCCAGTGTGTTCAGCACAGTGAAATGGAAAGAACCCTGGAACTGGGATCTAAGAGTCATAACTTCTAGTCTTGGCTCAGGTACTTACATGCTATGTGATCTTGAATGTGTCACTGAATTCTGAGCTTCAGATTCCTAAGTCCTAAGTCCTTCACACTCCCATTTTACAGATGAGAAAACCTGGGCACCAGGAAGTTACTTGCCCAGGGGCATGCACTTAGTGTCTGAGGCGGCATTTGAATCCAGGTCTGCCTGACTCCAAGTCCAGTGCTCTCTCCACTCTGCCATGTGGTCCATCTGGGGGATTGTTGTGAGGGTCAAATGAGATGGTGGGGGTCAAAGCATTTAGGAGAGCCCCAAGGCCTGTCTGGAAGGACCTTGTTCTTATTCCCTCGTCATCCCCGTTCCTGCTTTACTCTGAGGAAAAACAAGAGGGTCATGGAGCTTACCCAACTTCTCCAGGATCTCGAGCAGGTCCTGGCTGGTGTTCACCTTCAGTCGAGGCATAGTCAGCAGGGTCGACTGAATCTTGCTCTTCCCTAGCTTCTCCAAGATGGCGCTGAAGACTGGACTGCTGAGGCCGTGTTCCACCTCAGCAAGCTGAATGCCCAAGTGCTGAGGCAGCAGGATCACCAGGCTCAAGTCATTGGAGAGCTGCAGACGACCCACCTGAGGACCAAGAGAGGTGGCCCCTCAGCCTTCCTGGCGCTGGCTAGATCTGGGAGCTGTCCCTGCTGAGCCCTAGGGAAGGCTCCCGCTTGCCTTGTGAGCTACGGGGCCCTAGGATGAGAAAGCCAGGCCCGGGAGGGGTCTCCGAGGCCATCTCGGAGTATGATTTCCCCATTTTTCACATATGGAAACTGAGGCTCAGGAATTTGATTTCCCAAAGGTCACACAAATGTCAGAGGGAGGATTCAAACTCAGGTCCTTTGATTCCAAATGGGTAGAAGCTCCTCAGGTGATGGAAAACTTTAACTTTAGTGCTTCTGAGGAATTCTGGAGGAGAACAAGGGGCCCTGCTGTGTGAGCTGTGGCATGTTCACATGGGGGGCTCAGGCAAATATTTGTTGGTCACAAGAATTAGTGTAGTACAGCACTAGGAGTCTGGATATAGGAAGGTCTGGGTTTGAATTCTGGTCCTGGCATTAATTAGCTGTTTGACCCTAGGCAGGCCACTTTATGCCACTGAGCCTTAATTTCCTCATCTGTAAAATGGGGATCACATCCACCTACTTTACTGGGCTGTAGTGAGAAAAGAGCTTTGTAAACCTTAAAATATTTGTATGAAAGACCCCACCTGGAGGTGGAGAAAACCTTGAGATGCTGGATATCTTTTGAAGCTGGTGGACAAGCCAGGACACCAAGCAGCAACTTCTTTCACTCCCCAGGAGGAACAGCCATTTGCCAAGGCTCACTTTCGGGCCTCGTTCCTAGGCATCCTGCAGAACCCAACTATGATGTCCCTTCCTCCACAAGTCACCTTCTATGACTAACTCCCACCTCCCCTTCGCACTGCTCTTTCTCTCTCCACTGAGCCTCTCTCCTGCATTTACAGCCTACTACTTCCTGCCCCAGCCCTTAATCACACCTCAAATGTTTCCCCACTTGTGGGCAGTGGTGGTGGTGGGGAGTGGAAAAACATTGGCCTTGGCATCAGAAAACCTAGATTTGTTCTAAGCTCCAACCCCGACTATCTGCATGACCATGAGCAACTCTCTGAGGCAAAATGGGGGTGATAGCCCTTTCGCTGTCTATTTCAAGCAGTTGTAGTGAAGAAGTGTAATAGAAGTGAAACATTCTGGGCTTAGGAGTCAGAAAACCTGGTTTTGAATCTGAACTCTTGGACTTCCCTAGGCAAGCCTCTTTACTTCCTGGGCCTCAGTTTCCTCGTCTTTTGAATGAAGGATTTGGATGAGATGGCTTTGGGGGTCCCTTCCAGCTCTGGGTTTTCATCATCTACAGGACTTGTTCAGCTGGCCTATAAAATCTCCTTGCTCTCTATCCATGTGTGAACCTCGGACTTCCCCAAGAAGACAGTAAGCTCCTCAAGGGGCTAGGATTGTGTCTCATGCTTTCTTTGTAGCCTGAATAGCACTTAGGACAGTGCTGGGCACACAGGAAGAAATTAAATAGAACTCTCCAGGCTTTGAGGTATGTCTCACCTCACTTCCTCTGGATCTGGGTCAGGGACACATTCACTTTGTCCCTCCCAATCCTTTTGGAGGTTCTGATACTCGCTGTGTGTCTGTGGGCAAGTGGCTTCAGTTTTCCTCATCTGCAAAATGGGGATAATCATCCTTGTATTTCATAAAGAAAGAGTTACTTTGGAAGTGTGAACTGTCCTTGCTAGTCTCATTCTGCTGAGGAATCGAGGGCACCACACATGTACACGTACATGTGTGCACACACATGTATGTACCACACATGCATATGCATATGTATCCCACACATATATACATGCACCACACATGAATATGCGCATGTGTGTCCGCACACATATACATGCACCACACAGTTTTCTCAGCCTTCTGGGTTCCCTTGTAGTTTGGCCAGAAAGGGATACTGAGTCTCAATGGGACTCATGTGAACTCAGTTGCTGCTGGAGGGGTGAAGGAACCCAGGGATCCCTGCCTTCCTCAGGCAACTACTGGAGAGAAGAAAGTTATAAAAAGCAGAGTAGAAAGAAGAGGAGAAGGAGGGAACACAGAGAATGAATGAGATTCTGTAGTCCTACAGGGAGAGTGGTTGGAGCAGAAAGATCCCTCCATGTCTATGAAAACAGGAACTAGAAAAGGGCCCCAGGAGGTGAGTGTAGGGTTGAGATGGCTGGTGGCAAGACTCTTCTTCCTCACCTTGGCTTTCAAATTGGGGTCTGTGAAATGGGTCACCGGATACTTCTCACTCTTCATCATGGGCACCTTCACCTTCACCTTGGAGGATTTGGGGTAAAAGGTCTCCTGGGAAGTTTTTTTGGGGTCAAATGTAATCTTCCATTTGGCTAAAGGAAAGAAAAAAGAGAGTGGGAAGACAGAGGCAGGAAGACATGAGCCTTGTGCCGGAGAAAAGCTTAGTAAAGGCCTGCATCCTCTTCATGACCACAAAAGTGCAAATATTTATTAAATTAATAGTAAATGGAGTATTTACTTAAAATTATTAAGCAACTTTTAAAAGTCAAACTAAATAATTGGCCTATTCAATTATTAGTTAAATGAATTGAATAAATTAATTAAATGATTGGTTTAAATAGGTATCCAGTTGATAGATAACTGGAAGTAATACTCACATCACTGAGTTCACAGCTCTATGGAAGTTTGAACATGGGAAAAGTATGGGAAAAGTAAGGCTCAGAGATAAATAAGTTGCTCATAGTTTCACAGCTCACAAACAAAAGAGTGGGGCCTGTTGAGACCAAGTCATCCCAAATCTCACGCTGTTTGCCCCATCCCCAGCTGCCTCTGGGAGGAGAGGCATCTGTCAGGCTTTCTAGAGGGTTAGCTCTAAGACAAAGTGTGGAAAACCTTGAGGGGAAGACGAACCTGTGGAGAAGGTCTAGGACGGGAAGGGGTTGTCCCTGGGGTCCCAGCTCATTCCAAACTTCCAGAGAGCCAGCAACACAAAGTTATAAAAAGACCCAAAGGTTCTGGAATTTCATCAGCATGGAGAACTCTTGGTGTGGGAACTTTCCCACATATCCAGATTTCCACCCATTTGTAACTAGGGATAAGCAATGTGGAAATGAAGTGACTTGCACAAGGTCACACAACTAGAAAGAGTCAGAGGAGGTATTTGAACCCAGGCCTTCCTGACTCTAAGCCCAGTAACTAACCCAGTGTATCATATGGCCTCTTATGGCAGGCCGCGGCAGAAGCCGGTGCTTAAATCATGCTTTGAAACTGATCATGAGTTTCACACAAGTCGTCACATTTGATCCCTTACCCTTCAGGTAGATAGTATTGACTAGGACAAGCTTGGTCTCTGACGGTAGGCTCTTCAGAAGGCTGACGATCTTGTTCTTGGTCTGGTTGGCCACCCACGAATTGATCAAGGCCAAGTTCGCCTCGCTGTCATTGCTCAGAACCGTGGGCTGGCGGCCGTACAGGGTCTGGGAGGCATTCACAAAGTTCTTCTTTAGAATCAAGTCTGGGAGAATGACAATGGGCAGGCCACGGTGAGAGGAGAAGAGGAAACCTTCTCAGCCCTTTGCCAGGGCAGCCTTTAGCTGAACACATGCGTGGGCCAGTCTTCCTCTTCCTACTCCAGAGAATCATGGAAGCTGCTAAGGGATCTTAGTCTAACTCTTTTATTTCAGCATTGAGGACACTGAGGCCCAAGGGGTTTGCCAGAGTCAATCAGTTAGGAGCAGAGCTGGGATAACATCAGTAATGACAGCAACATGTTATCCTTTTCTTACAGATGAGGGAACTGGGGCCCAGAGACAAGAATCCTGCATGGGCAGGATCTGAATGGAGGTCTGTCTCCACCTCAATCCAACCTTTAATCCTTTCTTTTCCTGTCCCCCATGCCCCCACCCTCCCAGTCTGGGTATTAACTTCATGTTTCACCAAAGCTTCGGGTTTGGATCACAAGGTCTCCTAACTTCCAGTCTAGTGTTCAGCCCAATACACCCTCCTCCTCCCTGCCTGTCCCACTCCCTTGGGCTCACACCCAGTCTTCCTAATGTATGCCACAACACCTTGGCAATCTTCCCGCCTTGCTGTGCTGATGCTTCTGTACCCTCTAAACTGGACCTCTAGAGACTATGCCCTAGAGGACCTAAGCCACTCAGCTCTGGATCTCCCTTCCCGGGGCCACGATTGATGAGAGCCTACTCTATCTAGGTAGCACCCAATCATGCTTCCTCCCATCTATCTTCCTGCTATGCTATGGTCTGTGTCTGGCTCCTGCCCCTTCCTCCTCTTACCGTGAGAATGGTAGTCAAATGAACACTACCAATGCTTCTAGAAAGAGTATGTATGTCACTTGATTGCTCCGTGGCTCTACTCATATCCTTGTGATTTCCCAGGCCAACGTATCTTTTCCTAGCTACCACTCCCCATTATGTGTTATCTTCTACCATTATAATGTATGGTCCTTAAGGGCAGCTCTCTTGTGTATTTCCATTACCAGCCCTTGACACAATGTTTAGAACATAGGAGACAATAAATGCTTTTTCATTCATTCATTCATTCATTCATTCATTCATTCATTCAATGTCATACACAGTTCTACAAAAGTCCTGTACTCTGGTTTAGCAATTCTTATCATATCTACAGCTCCCCATCTTTTCCACTTCTGGGATTTCAGGACCAATGACAGGCAGTTGCCAAGTACAGTTGAGAACCCTTAGAGCTCTCTTCAGCAATGGGGAGCAGCTGACTCCTCTACCCTTGCTGATGGCTTCTCACCAGGACTGTGGAAGATCTGAGAAGCTGAGATGAAACCACTGGATGATAGATTCTTCAGGGCCTGGTGGACACAGTCAGAGTCCCTGGGGTAGGATAGAATGTCTTCCAGATTTCCCTTGGTGGTATTTCCAGCCCCTGGGGTAGATGAAACAGAGTTGAGAGTTAGTAGTTGAGATTGGAGTCAAGGCTGGGACAGGCCACAAAAGAGGGTCTATTTTCATGCTATGGAGGCTTCTTGAGAGGCCCTGGAAAAGGTCAGAAGTTGAGGCTTCTCCCTTCCCAACAAGGCTCTGTCCTAGGACTTCTTCCTTTTACTCTCCCACTTGGTGAACGCCTCCACTCTCATAGCTTCAGCCCTAACCCCTGAGCAGATGAGTTCCCCAATCCATATTTTCACCCTCCATCTCACCCTATGCTCCAATAACACACTTCCAACTAGCAGTGGAAGGTTTCCCGGTGGATGCTCTGCTGAGATTTCAAACTCAGCTTGTCTAGAGCTAAGCTCACCATCTTCTTTCTTGCACTGGCCTCTCCTTCTAACTCCTCCAATCCTGTCGAGGGTACTGCCCATCTTTCCAGTTACCTGGAGTTGCAATCTTGGAATCACCTTTGACTCTTTTTTTCTCCCTCAATCCTTGCATCTAGTTGACTGCTGAGAAGGCTCATTCCTGTCTTGGCAATATCTCCTGTATCCAACCCTTCTCCTTTACTTCCCCTTGCATCCACCCTAGCTCATACATATCCTCATGTTTTCTTGTTTAGACTACCATTTCCCAGATGATATCCCTACCTCCAGCCTCTTTCCTTTGCCCAGATAACCCTTTTCACTTAAGTACTGCTAGGGTTATTTTACTCCTCTACTCAGAAGCCTCCCCATTGCCTAACAAATAAAACAGAAATATTTGATCCTGTCATTTGAGGCTATCTATGAGCTAGCTATAACCTCTAATGCTCCCTTCAAGCCTTAAATCAAGTTCTATTTTCTTATGAGAAGCCTTTCCTAAGGTCCCCAGCTGCTGGTGCCTTTCCTTCAAAAATCACCTTCTATTTTGTATAGGCCTTGATATGAACAAGTTGCTTCCTCAGCTAAAGTGTAAGCTTCTTGAGGTCAGAGACTGCTTTCCATTTTTTTTTATTGTCAGTACCTAGGACAGTGGCTGGCATATAGTCGATATAGTAATAAAGCTGTTGATCTATCTCATATTACTCCCTTTCATGAAATCAAAATTCCAGCCAAACTGGATGGTTTTCTCAGACCCAGCAGGAATCACCTTTGTAACAACAACGACAAAAGAAGACAGTAAAGTAGAACAAAAGAACAAGCCATGTGTGCAAATATGTGTCACTCCACCCCTAGAATCCATGTCCTCTTTGCTAAGAAGCAGGGGATGCAATTCCCCAGCTTTTCTCTGAAGTATACACTGAACTATTCTCCATGCTTCATCCTCATCCTGTGCTCTGTCTACATGGCTTTGCTCACACCAGCCATCTCCCCAGACTAGAATGGACTCCTACCTCTTCACCTCTTTATCTATTAAAGTCTTTCCTTTTCTTTAAAGCCCAATTCAGATACCACCTACTCCATTAAACTTTCGCTGAGACTCACCTCCACCTCATTCTCAAATTTCTGGACTTTGTTTTTTCTGCCCATGGTTTTTCCCTTCATTAGCTTGTAAACTCCTTAAAGTCAGGTTCCCTGTAGTAGCTTACCTTGGTAACCCCAGCATTAAGCACAGGATAATATCTTACAAAGAGTGGGTATTTAACACAAATACTGTATATCTATAGTTACCAAGCCTGGCCTTGAAGAAGAGATATGAGGTGGGGAGCTATGGGTGTGGAATGTCAGGCTTGGTCTATGTGTTGGTTTGTTTTGATGAATCACTCCCCCTCACTTTTTTTTAATTCTTTTTTTTTTTTTTTAATAAGGAATGACTTTCTGGGTGGAGAAGGAGAAGGGATTGGAATATTAAGGTGATGATCTCTCATGAGAAGTTTTTTTAAAAGATTGCTGAATTGAATTGCTTTCTAGCTACTTGGTCCTGGGGAAGGAAGGAAGGGGAGGAGAAAAAGGAGACATGGCATCTGCTGCTTGTGGAAGAATCTCTTCCTTTTGGGGTCTAGGTTTCCCTTTTGATTCGTCCTTTCTCACAATTCATCTCTTCCTCTCTGCTCACACAGTCAAAACCCAAGTTGAAGCCCTCTTCAGCTTTCTCTCTTTTTCATAAAAAAGATCCAATGGATCTAATTTTTCATCTTAATCTCATTGATGGGCAGTGCGGCGTGGACAAAAGCTGGTTTCTGGGTCAAGAAGATCTGAGTTCAGATCCTATCTCTGGACATGTACTGTTTGAGTGACCCTGGGCAAGATACCTAACTTCTCATTGACTAAGGTGACTCTCTAAGGCAATATGTGGTGAATCAAGAGCCAACCTGCATTGGTAAAGGGAATTCCTCACCAAGACCTCCCTGCACCCATGAAATCCTCAGCATGGTAAACATATATATGTATATATGTATGCACACACATCATATATGGGTGAGTGTTTGTGTTTGTATATATAATGTATTTAGTTTTTACATGGCCTTGAATTTCAAGAACATCCCTCCTCTCTGCTCTATCCATTGAGCTCAGCCTACTTGTCACCTTGAACTGAGGCTGTTGAAACAGGCTCCTAACTGTTCTCTTGATCTCTACTCTTTGCCCTCTTTGGCTCATTTTTCCCTGAATCACAGAATCTGATTTGGAACGGACCTTAGAAGCATGTCATCTAAGCCACACATTGAGAAAAAGGCCATCAACGACATTCTCAGCAAGGAAAAGTGGTCATCCAGCCTAATGGTAGGGAATCAATAAATGAATGAATGAAACACTAATTTAGGAGTAGCAGGCTTTACTACACTGTCCACCAGGCGTGGGGAACCTGTGGCCTCGAGGCCACATGTGGCCCTCTAGGTCCTCAAGTGTGGCCCCTAAATCCAAACTTCAGTCAAAGGGTCACCCTTGAGTACTGAGAGTGTGGCCTCGAGGCCCTGGGTCCCCATCCCTGGTCCAGGACACACAAAATATTACAGATCCCTGTTCTAGAAGCTCTGTCCTTCTAGGCTCCAGGCCTGCAATTTGGGTAAGCTGCTGCCAGGTGAGTTGTGGTGCCCTCTTAGATACAGTGGTGAGTATAAAATAATTAGCTTTCCCCCAAGCCTGGAATATCATAGCAACAGTTGTTTCCTAGGATAACCAGAAAGAACTGGAGCAAAGACTTCAGCATGCTGGTTCAATCTCCTGTGCCAAACTGGTGGGAGGACATGGATGAGGGTGGCACAGGATGGGCAGGCATAGATGGGTTGCTATCTACATCACTTGAGTGATTCATCACATTGACGAAATACCATATCTGGTGGGCTGGAGTAATCCTCACCTTTAGGGTTAGCAACTCACCTTTCTGTGAAGGAGATAGTTTAAGTATTATTATCATCTCCATTTTAAAGATGAGGAAATTGAGGCATGAAGTGATTTGCCCACTGCTTATAAGTAGCAAAGCTAGGATTTGAACTCAGATCCAGCACTCTTTCCCTCTTCATGTACTCTTATACTTCTCTGAATGTCCTTCTCTCCCCACCCCACATTTGTCCTTATTTAAATTCTATTCTTCCTTCCAGATCTAGCAATATTACTCCACTTTCCAAGAAGCTGACCTCACCAGCTGTTCATTCCTCTGATCCTCTATAATACTTTGTTTGTCCCACTTGCAGGGTACTCACCACAAACTGCTGCATGCTATAGTTATGTTGTGTACATGGCTTTTCTTCTCTACTAGACGGTGGGCTTCTTAAGGGCAAAAACAACCCCTCGGGCATCTTGGTATCCCTTGAGACACCCTAGCAAAGAACTTCCCACACAGGTGGTGCACAGGGATGAGCAGGAATAGCCCAGTACCTGATGCAATCACCACTGTTTCGAAGACTTCCTCTTGGAGCCATACTGTTATGGCAGTAGTAGGTGTAATCCCATACAGTGTGGTTGTGATTGGGGCAGCCATGAGGATATCAGAGGCAGCTATGGTGGGGAGTGTCCAGGTGGGCCCTTACCTAATAGGATGTTGGTCAGAAGGCTTGCAATGCTGAATGGGGAAAAGACCATATTGGAGTCTATTTTCTTCACTGATGAGAAGGCATGATAAAGCTTCAGGGAGAAATCTGTCAGGGCTTCTCCCAACATCATCTCTGCTTCTTGAGTCTTGATCTCAGAGCAGGAAGTGTCAGGAACCAGGCAGGTAGGCTCAGGAGGGGCCTGAGTGGTTGGCTGGGAAGTTGGTTGGGTGGGGAGCTCTGTAGGGGATGGAGTGGTTGGTTGGGTGGTGGATTCTGTTGGTGGGTGAGTTGAGAAGTTGGTGGAAAGCTTTGTGGGATGTTCGGTGACGGGTTCTGAAGGAGGTGCTGTAGAAGGATCCTCAAATGACTTCTCTTTTGGTCTTATGTGGACTTCTACAATCTCCTCTTCAGTTGCTTCATTTTGTTCCACTTTCTGGGATGTGATGTGGCCGTTGGAGTTATCCGGATCAGCCTCTGATTCATCCTTTCCACTTGGCTGGGTCAATGATGTACCATCCTCACTTGTCTGCACCTCCTCTCTGCTACCATGATCCACCTTCAAATGCCCAGAAGAAAGGGAGAAGTTGAGTCTTAAGGCCACAGTCCTGGAGATCAGGTCACTTAAGAATAACATCTAAAGCCATGAAAGGGCTCATATAATCAGCCTCAGATCAGGAAAGGACCTCAGAGATCATCTAACCCAATTCATATCTAAACAGGAAACTTCATAAGACACAAAACACCTCAAAAGTGGTCAAGTAGCCTTTGTTTGAAGACTTCAAATGAGGGACAACCTGCTTTCTTCAGAGGCAACCCATCCCACTTTGAGATGACTCTCATTGTCAGGAATTTAGACCTACCATCCAACAGCCTATGGTGGCGTAAAAACCACTGGCTGTGGAATCAGATGACATGAATTCAAGTCCCAGCCCTGCCACCTGTGTGACCGAAGCCAAGTCACTAACCTCTCTGGGCCTTGGGGGAAGGGGTTAGACTAGGTGGTTCTATGATCCCCTTCCTCTGTAAGTCCCAATTTGCCTTTTCAAAACTTCCAGTGAGGAGTGATAGACCAGGATAGGTTCTATACTAAGGCTACTCTCTCAGGCTGTGGAGGCCTGAAGGGAGAACTGGGTCCTACTTCAGGTAGGTGACCTGACCCTACAAGAGGTGGGACCTAAAAATGAAAGGCTTTCCCATGCTATCCTGTGAGAGTGAGATGGAAGGGGGCTCAAAAACCCAGAAACCAAATTCAAAGAAATGTTTTGTCCCCTTGCAAGTTAAACTTTCTTCCGGGTCTTTACGATGCAGGGACATATCTCTGATCTGTGGTCCTATTTCAACCCCATCCCCCTTTCACCTTTCACCCCCACCTACACATACACAGTTGGCCAGTAGGTCAGCCACCCACCCACCTTAAGGGGCAAGTAGATTTGCATCAGGAAAGGTCTGAAACCACATGTCCTGGTCCATATTTTAAATGTTTCTTGAGCTCCCTGACGACAGGAGCTAGGGTTTTGTTTGTTTTCGTTTTTTTGCTTTGTCCCACCCCAGCACTACAAGGGACTTGTCCAGGGTCACACAGCTGGTCGTGGCAGAGCCAGGCTTGAACCCAGTGACTTCAAAGGAACGTAGCTTGCAGGGGTGGGGTGGAGTGGAAAGAGTATCAAGTTTGCTGGCCAAAGCGATGGTCCGACTCTTGGCTCTACCGCTAACGAGCTATGTGACCTTGGACAAGTCTCTTCCCCTCTCAGGTCTTCATTTTCTTCCCCTGTGAAACGAGAGGGTTAAATTATATGATCCCTAAGATTCTTTCCACTTCGAACAGTCTAGGATGCCTTATAAATCGGGCGCGTTTTGGACTACGCCACCGTAGCTCTCTTCTCTTCGTCGCAGCACACAAAGAGTTAATGACGGGCCCTTCTTCCCTACCCCGCCTCCCTCCCTCCCCCTCCCCCCGCCCGCCCCCAGAGGAGTGTGTGTTGGGGTGGGGGCACTTACATCAGCCCGGGCCACTAGAAAGAGCAGCAGAAGGGTCAGCAGCGGGGTCAGCCGGGCTGCCATCTGGGCGTCGCTGTCCGCCTTGACCTGCTGAACCAATGCCGGGGTCCTGGGTCAGTCCCCAGCCTGCTGAGACCAAAGGGGCGGGCTCCAGTCCTGGGGCACTGGGGATTGGGGGTGGGGCCCCGGGCAGCCTCAGCCCTCCTTTCTCCTCATTCTTTCGTTCCAGATCCTCTCTTGCCGGGCCTTCCCCTCTTGGGCCCCTCCCCTCGGTTTTGTTTTCCTGTAATCTCTTCCATTTCCCAGCACAGCTGGCCTTCCCTCTCCCCTACCCCCACCTCACCCCACCCCAACCCTGCACCTCCCCTCCTCCTCTCCGCCCAGGCCTGGGTCTCTGTCCATCTGTTCAGCGGAAGGGGTCCAAGCTCTAGCAGAAAACAGAAACAGGGCAGCAGGAGATGGGGCCCCGGATTAGGGGGGTGGAGTGGAGGTGGGGGTGGGGGGAGAGCTGAGGGGCCTGAGGGGCACAGGGGAAGAGGAGAGCAGTGGAGAAAAGTTCCAAAGAAAAGACCCTAGGGACAATAGTGGGGATGAGATAGGTTGGGCTGGGGCCTCTGGCGTGAGAATTAAGAGACAGGAGGCCATCCTCTCCTTAAAACCAGAACAGGTTACCTTTCCCACCTTGCCCAGTGCCAAACCTGCTCCCCAGCTCCTGATCAGTGAGCAGCTTCAGAGAAGAGTGACCCCAGAGTCCAACCCAGACGGGGTGGAGAGGACCAGCCCTAGCCATGGGCTGGCCCTGGACACTGGCCTGGCCTGTTAAAAATTAAGGATGATTGATTCTGCTGTGATTTCCTGTAAATCAGGCCGGTCTGAAGGAGGACTCTGTGAGAAGCCCCAGTTTGTAACCTGCTGGCTGAAGCAGGGATGCAGCTAGGACCCCTTTGGGTTGCACAAGTTCAGACATACCACATGGAAAAATCACCATTCCCACCTTTTGCAGGAAGTTGGTTTTTCTTCACCAGGAATTCGGTTAGTGGAAAGGACACTGGGTTTGAAACTGAGAATTCCGAGTTCAAATCCTAACCTTGCTTCCTACTAGCCGGGTGAAGTTGTTTAACCTCTCTGGCCTTCAGTTTCCAAATGTGGAAAACGAGATAGTTGGACCAAACAATCTCTTGACCCTTTCTCTCTTAATTCTGTGATTTCCTCTCCTTACTGCAAAGGGAAACTGAGGCACAGAACCTTCCTTGTGGTAAACCAGTTAATTAAACGGCTCTCTGTCTACCAGAGGAGATGCAAACAAAATGATTGGTTCCCTAAGATCACCCACAGAGTGTGGCTCAATGTCAGTGAATGAGCCAAGGGGCCAGTTGAGCTCCAGGGAGCTGATCCATGCCTCTGGAAAGACATCTGCTCTGGTGGCCCCTCTGCTTTTCATCTGGTCTTTGGGTATCTCGATATTCACTGCCATTTGAGAAATGGCCTATATGGCCTATTAGGGATCAAGGTCCCCAACAGATTGGCAGGGCCTGCCAGAGGTTGTGCTGATAGCTTTTAATCAGCCAGTATTGATTAAGCACCTTCAAGACTTGTCACACTTGGTGAGCTCTACTCACTCATTCCTAGTGATTCTGGTGGGGACAAATGATGCCATCAGGAGGAACAGAGAAATCATTGCTGACGATTACCATGTTTGGGGCTAAAACCAAAGACCTTAGGGAAAATGGTGGCTTTTTTCATCACTGTTGTTAATTGAAGGATGCTGGTTCAGAACAGGAAGGCCGACTTGGGAAAGAACAGCAAACTAAGAAGATGGTGTCTGAGGATAGGGAATAGATTTCTGGATCACAGTTAGTTTAAAATACAGGAATAATAAGTATTTGACCTAGGATGGAATATACTTAGCAGTGATCTGTAAAAACATTTCTAATCTGATCAAGAGAATTTTTAATGGGAAAGGGGGGAGAGAAGAAGAAAATTTCACACAAATATCTCCCAAGCCTGGTACCAGAGACAGGAGCAGGTATAACATAGGAAGAATTGTAGAAGAAGAGGGCCAGTAATACCTGAGTGGCCTTGGGCAAGTCATGTGTCTTCCCTGGGTTTCAATTTCCTCATCTGTAAAATGAGATGGTTGGCTTAGATGACTCCCGTGGGCTTTCCCAGCTGTAGCTCTAAGATCCTATGATAACACGAGATAGTTTGCCTGACTTATTTCAGGCGCTGACATACAAATGCACGAATGCATAAGGAACTGGGTGAATTAGAGATCCCAATGCAAGCAGGCAAAGTTGCTCATAAGCATCATTGTGCCTTGTTGGAAAGGGTCTCAACTGGAATGTGGCTCTGGAAGGATATGTCTTATCACAAAGAAATAGACTAAAAGGGACAGGGACATAATAGCATTAAATATGAAGATATGAGGAAAATTCAAGAACCATAGCAGAGAATATTTGGAGAGAAATCAACATGGGGGAGAAACAGAAACTATATTGTTAAGGGAATATGCTACAGAATGTTTGAATACAGGAAGAAATTAGAAGAAGAGTTTGGAGAACAGATCGGAAACTGAGAATGGAGGTGTGATATAACAGCAACAGAGGACTTCAATTGCCTAGGTATCCTTTGGAGTGCTCCCCCGATGAAAGCCAAACCAAGGAGCTTAGAAATTTCTGACTTGCCCAGATTTGTCTGTCCTTTTAAAAAATGGAGGAAGTGCCAAAGAGAACTGTTATTCTGAATCTAGTTCTGACCAATAAGGAGGAAGTAGTTCCTGGGGTGGAAATGATGGCTACTTCGGGGGAAAGTGACAATTCCATTATGAGAGAGAAGAAGAAAGCCAGGCACAGTCTGTTATTGGAAGAGCAGATTTCAAAAGGCTCAGGGAAGGAGTAGGTAGGGTCCAATGGTTTTTAATAATCTGCAGAAGTCAGCCAAAAAGGGATAGGAAGCTCTCTTAATTTCTTTCCTCTTTCCTTCTTCCCTCCCTTGGGGAATCTATTAAGCTATACTGACTGGCCCCAGGATTTATGAGGACAAACTGACAAATACCATGAATGAAAGGTAAACTCAGCAACAGGTTAAGAAGGTTGACCTCTGATGATTATCAGAATCATAACTCAAATTTCTTTAAGTGCTTTGAGGTTAATAAAACACCTTTCTCACAACAACACTGTGAGTTGGAGAATGCAAGTATTATTCCCATTTCTTAGGTAAGGAAAATGAGGTTCATAGAGGGGAAGTGACTTGCCTAAAATCACACAACTAATAATTATCTGGGCTGGGATTTGAACCCAGGTGTTCTGACTCCAAGTCCATCACTATTTTCACTATTCCATGTTGATTTCCCCTTATCAATATCCAGACAGCTGCTCATCTTTTTTTTTTTTCTAGGCAATTGGGGTTAAGTGACTCTCCCAAGGTCACACAGCTAGTAAGTGTCAAGTGTCTGATCTGAGACCAGATTTGAACTCAGGTCCTCCTGACTCCAGGGCCAGTGCTCTATCTACTGTACCACCTAGCTGTCCCCAGACAGCTGCTCATCACCACCCAGATTCCAACTCTACCACTCTTCACATCCACATCCATTTTAAAGCAGTTACTACAGTGAGTCCAGCAAATATGGGGACCTCCTAGATGTGTATCCCAACCAAAGTTGAATGGATTACCAGCTCTAGGATTCCTGCTAGCTATCACTCTCCTTAACCTGAAGGAAGTAAGCACATCCTCCTCACATTCTGAGAAAGAGTAAGACTTTCTGTTGGAGTCATGGTCTTTTCAGAAAGTCATTTGCACTGTCTTTTTGAGGGTCTGGCAACTGCGTTCCATTTTTTTTTTCAATTAACAAAAAATTATTGTCTCTTCTTCCTACATTCGCTCTCAACATTGGGGGTGGGGGTGGATAAAAAGCAAAGTCCTTGTAACAAATCTGCATAGTCAAGCAAAACAAATTCTCCCATTTTCTATGTCCAAAAATATGTCTGGTTCTGTGTCTTGAGTTCCTTATTTCCCTCTCAGGAAATAAATAGTATGCCTCATCATCAGTTCTTCTGCAATTTTGACTGACTATTGTACTGATCAGTTTTTAAGTCTTTTAAAGTCATTTGTCTTTAGAATGTTGTTATATAATGTGCTTTCCTGGTTTTGCTCACTCTGCATCAGTTCATATAAGTCTTCTCAGGTTTCTCTGAAATTATCCATTTTATCACTTCTAATGCTATAATAATATTCCATTACATTCATATGCCATAATTTTTTCAGTCATTCCCCAATAAGTTAGTTTCTAGATTTTTGCTATTATAAAAAATAGTTAACTTTTTTTGTGTGCAAATGGGTTCTCTTCTTTCTTTGATTTCCTTGGGGTAGGGTAGTCATGATATCATTGGGTCAAAGGGCGTGCACAGTTTAGTGGCTTTTTGGGGCATAGTTCCAGATTGATTTCCAGAGTAACCAAAGCTCTACCAACAGTGGATTAATGTACTTATTTTCCTGCAATCTCTCCAACATTTGTCATTTTTCATTTTTGTCATCTTTACTAATCTTATAGGTGCAAAGTGGAACTTCAGAATCACTTTAATTTTCACTTCTCTAATTCTTAGTGATTTGGAACAATTTTTAAATATGGCTATTGATAGCATGGATTTCTCCCTCTGAGAACTTGCTGTCCATATCTTTTGACTTTATCAAGTGCGGAATGATTTTATTCTTTTAAATCTGAACCATCCCACTGTTCTTAAATTATAAAACCAAAGAATACAGAAGGATCTCAGAAAGTCTCCCCCTGCTCTCAGAAAGGAAGAATGCTTAACAGGTTAACGTCTAGCTTATTTGAAAAGGTTTCCATGGAAGGAAGGAAGCAAGGAAGTCCAACCACTCTCTTTTCTGTGCCAGTGGTTAGTCATGCTGATAGTCAAAAGTGTTTCCTTATGTTCATTTAAGACTCTCTCAATGTAACTTAAGCTCATTTGTTCCTTTTTAAAAAGCTTTTAAAAAGTGTTTTTATTTTTTAATTTCATCTTTATTTTTATTTTCAGATTCTCTCATTCCCACCTCCCTTTCCCCACTCATTGAGAGGAAGAGAAAAAACAAAACCTGTCACAACAGTGTATAGTGAAGCAAAATAAATTCCTACATTAGCCACATCCAAAAAGAAAGAAAATCTGCACTGAGTCCATCAGCTCTCTATCTGGAGGCACAGTGCCTGTAATACAGTAGGTGCTTACTAAATATTTATTGACTGATTGGCTAGCACATTTTATCATGAATCCTTTGGATTGTGCTTGGTCATTGTATTGATCAGAGTTTCTAAGTCTTTCAACATTATCTTTGCAATATTGTTGTTAATGTATCAACTTTTCTCCTAGGTCTGCTCGCTTCACTTTGCATCTGTTCATACAAGTCTTTCTAAGTTTCCCTAAAACCTTGCCCTTCATCATTTCTTACAGCATAGTAGTATTCCATCACATTCACATATCATAACTTGTTTAGCCATTCCCCAATTGATGAAAGCCCATTTGCTCTTATCCTGGACTCTATGGAGACAGAGAACGGGTGCTGAGGGTTATACCCATCATAGATGCAGTGTGTTGTAGAGGACAGAGGAGCCAGGAAGACTTAGGTTTAAATCTGGCCTAATATACTTACTAGCTAGGCAACTCTGGGTCTCAGTTACAGAATCTGTAAAGTGAAAGAGTTGGAATCAACCTGTGATCAATCAATGAGTATTTATTAAGCACCTACTATGTGCCAAGCACTATGTGAGGTGTTAGGAATACAATTTCAAAGAATGAAACAACCCTTGATCTGAAGGAGCTTTCCTTCTAATGGGGGGAAAAAACCAAATAGATACAAAATATATACACCACAAATATAAAATTTATAATACAAATTATTAAAAGAAAGTTAAGTATAAATTACTTAACTTTATAAGTAGAGAAATTAAGTATTAAGGATTTTGGGAGGGAGGGCATTATCAGTTGGGGGATAAAGAAAATCTTCATGCATAAGATAATAATGACTAAAATTTATATAACACTTTAATGTTTTCAAAGCACTTTACAAATATTTTCTCATTTTATCCTCCCAACCCTAAGAGGCAGGTGCTGCTATTGTTTCTATTTTACAGATTTTACAGATGAGGAATCTGAGGCAGATAGAGGTTAAGTGACTTGCTGAGAGTCACCCAGCTGGTGAGCATCTGAGGCTGTATTTGAACTTGGGTCTTCCTAACTTCAGGTTCAGCCTTCAGCTTAGTCTTAAAGGAAAAGAGGAACTCTATGAAGTGGAGATAGGGAAAGAATCCATTCCAGGCATGTAAAACCTCTAAGATCCATTCCAGTTCTCTTGTAATCCTTCATGTACTTAAAATGGACAATGTTTTCCTTTACCTTTCTCTTCTGCAAATTGAATATTCTCAAATCCTTTCTCCTGTCCATATAGAATCTACTTTTCCTTTCTTATCACTTTGTTCTCTCTTAACCTTCTCCAGTTTATTTATTTAAAAAAACAGTGGCACTCTACATATTTCTGTACACAGTGCTCTAATAAAGTTCTGACCAATGACAAGCATAGTGAAAGGATTAATTCCTCATTCCCGAGTCCTTGGAGAGGGGATCTGGAAGGACAATGATCCAAGAATATTACCCATTTCATTCAGTATTGTCTTTTAAGAACTTCAGTCTTTGTGACTTCTAAGACATTTCAGTTATTTCAAATCATCATCCTTAAAATTGACAGAAGAAAATTCATTTTGCCCATCCCAACATTCAGGAAATGAAACCTGACAATGCTATAGGTTGGGAGATTCTGGAAAGTGGGTCAATGTTGTAAAAGAAGATTGTGTATGGTCACCATGCTGAGCCTCTGTAAGGTGGTTTGTTTGAGATGGAGACTTGCTTTAGTGATGTTTTTCCCTAGGAAAACCATTAAAATCATGTTTATTTTACAGCTAACTTCTTAGTCACATCTGAGAGCCAGAAAGGAATCAATCGCCACTAGAAACACTGGAGACCATGAGGTCGGATATACTTCTGTTGGCACGGACCCATGGACAATTTTTTTTTTCAGTCTGTGTGTCTTGATATGTTCAGCAGCTTCAACTCTCTGTCCAAAGCCATCCTCATATTCAGAACATTTATAAGTTTTCTTAGCTCTTTGAAGTCTCTGGTGCCTTAGGAGCTTGGAGTTGAGGCTGGAGTTTTATTACAGTAGGACACCTATAGGATTTCTTCCCAATGTGGCTTCTCTGGTGTTTGATGAGATCCAACCAATGAATGAAGGTTATCTTTCAGCCAGGGCATGTACAGTCAGTTCTGCTATAATGCAATATGTGTATTCCTAAAAAAAACCACACTATGCAAAATTGTGTAATAAAAGCCACAGGGCTATGGGGGAAATGGGGTTAGGAGTACAACACTAAAAGAAAACCACTTCATCAGTGACACATGTAAAAAGGTAGGAACTTATTTAAAAGATTAGCATGGTTTTTATACATGTCAAGTGGTTAAGAACTATATAAAGACTACAATAGATAATGGTGGGCTCCACAACCTTGGATTACTGCTGATCCCGTACCTCATTTGCCATAGGGGCCAGAGCTAAGGGAGTGCAATGCATGGATTTGAACCAGCCTTTCTCTGCCTACGGTTCTGCATCAAAAGAAATGTGATAAATATGGTACTTTACCTTGACAATGATGTGAAGCTTTCATGCAGAAGTGAGCTTTCAAAGAGTTGCAGCTTGTGAGGTGGTAGAAGGGGTTTTATCTGAAACCGATCTGGAAGTTGTAACACCAGATGTGGATGGGTGTGGCTGGTCCTCTAGATATCTCTTCTGTATTAGCTTAAAGTATATATCCAATTTCTGCTGCTTCGCTAGCCTCCTCCTTTCATACAGAAGCTGCCTGTATGGTTCCAAATTTGTGCGGATGCCATGCACCACTATTCTGCTGCGTTCAGCATTATAGTCGTTATCTTCGAGCCATTGCAACTGTTTCTCAATAACACTTAAAACACCTGATAACTGGGATGTGTCAAGCTGTCGTGGTGTGGCCTTCTGGCTCTCGTTATCGTCATCGTCATCGTCATCTTCCTCATCTTCTGCTTCCACTTGGCCATCAGCAAGTTGTTGTAAGTCTTCTGTGGTCAGATCATTCGAGTGAGGCTCCAGAAACTCTTCTATATCTTCATCTTCCACCTCCTCGAATCCAATTTGTTTCGCCAGATCAACACAGCTTGCTCTGATTTTTTTAAATTGCTCTGAAGGTTCACATTCTTCAAAATTATGAATCAGGTTAGGGAGCATTTTCTTCCACACACGATGCAAACATTCTTTGGTGACATCATTCCAGGCTTCTACAATGATATCAATGGCCATTTTGATATTAACTCTCTTCCAAAATTCTGTAGCAGTTTCTGCATTCTCGCCTCCCGTAGCTGCAATTAACATTTTAAATGTTCTCTTTAGATAGTAAGCCTTAAACAGGGCAATCACACCTTGATCAAGGGGCTGTATCAGAGAGGTGATTTCTTGAGGCAAAAAGACGAATTTGACTTTCGGATTGAGTTCAGCTATTGTCGGGGGATGGCTTGGTGCATTATCAATAATTATCAGAATTTTAAAAGCCAAGTTCTTTTTCTTACAATAATACTCTATAACAGGGAAGAATTCCGCAAAAATATCAATGCAGATTTGGGCAGTCATCCATCCTTTCTTGCTATAGCGGTAATGAACACCGAGGCTGGCTTTAACAATGCCTTTCAAGGCTCGTGGGTTGTCAGAGCGATAAACCACCACCGGCTTTAGCTTCAAGTCTCCACTGGCGTTGGCCCCGAACATCACCGTTAAGCGGTCTTTCGAAGCCTTATATCCTTGGGCGTGTTTTTCCGCCTTTGGGATGTAGGTCCTTCGAGGCATGCGTTTATAATAGATAATCGTTTCGTCAAAATTGAAAATTTGGTCCAATGTATAGCCTTCTTCTTTAATTAATTTCTGTATGACTGCTGGAAATTCTTTGGCGGCTTTCTGCTCTGCTCTAGAGGCTTCCCTGGAGAATTGGAGGTTACAGAAATTGTAGCGATGTTTGAAGCCACTGAACCAACCACAGCTCGCCCTAAAAGGCGCCACTTCTGCAGGATTTGGAGATTTCCTCTTAAGGTCTGCATATATAGAAAGTGCTTTCCCTTTGATGGTGAGGAAGGTGGTTCTCGACTTTTTCCCTTCGATCCATATGCTCAACAATCTTTCCATTTCTGCTATTTCTTTAGGCCTTATTCTTACTGACTTTGCAGAAATCGTAGTTGTTCCGGTCATAGATGTTTCCTTTATTCTCACGGCGTTGTCTCTGATGGCCCTCAACGTAGATTCCTTGATGCCTGTTGCTCTGGCGATATCACATGTTCTTTCATTTCTTTCAAAACGTTTTATTATTTCAAGCTTCTCCTCAATACTGAAAGTTTTTCTTTTGCATCCATGGCTTGATGGTTTTGAACCAGGACGCTTAGACATGTTTGGGATGTGGAATGAGTGTTTTATATATATATGTGTGTGTGTGTGTGTGTGTGTGTGTGTGTGTGAGTGTGTGTGTGTGTGTGTGTATAGAAAAGTTCACAAATAAAAAAATACAGTAAAACACAATCTTATAGGATAACACAAGGTGAACTGAAGTAACTCATAGATATTTAAGGTGAGTGTGTTTTGTTCCTCCACGGCTCAGTTCAGCTGGGTGCAGTTTTCTGCATTCTAGCTGTTTCTTGTGGATGAAATTGCACATAAGCAAACTAAAATTAGCATTATGCTCAAACGGTTGCCTAATACAGCAATCATATTGGAACAAATTCCCATTTTCAAAACAAGAGCTATAGCAGAACTGACTGTATATGGTTTTTCTCCAGTGTGGGTCCTTTGACATTTAATAAGTGTTGTATGGTGAGTAAAGCTTTTCTCACACTGGGGACATTTATAGGATATCTCTCCTGTGTGGATTCTTTGGTGGGTGATGAGGGATGATTTCACATAGAACTGATCTCCACACTTAGTGCAAGATAGAAAGTAGGGTTTCTCTCCCTCTTTGGATTTTTTGATGTTGGAGTTCTCATTAAAGGAGTTCTCACTCTCAGGGCTTTTATAGGTTTTGGGTTATCCACCCCCCCCTTGGCAGGGATTCTAAGATGATGACTGTACAAGTATCTGTAAGTGAGCCCTTTTCCACATTCCACACAATTGTAGCATTCTCCCCTGGATGGATTTTTGGATACTTTTTAGGATTGGAATGCTCCCTTAAGATTTCCCACATTCACTAAAGAGAGAGGCTTTCTCAAAACTTGGTCTAGTTTTAGGGTCATTAAAATGAGGTTCCCCAGATCCCTTATCTTGGGGATGGATTTTTTTCTGCCTGTTCCCTAACACTTTCCCCTGCTGCTTTTCTGAAGTGCACTGACTCACATGGGTTCTTCCAAAAGTCCAGGAACTTTCTTCTCCTCTTAAGACCTTCCCAATCCCTTGAGAGTCCTCATACATGAGACATTTCAGCTGATAACCCTCCTCATTTTTCTCCAGTCTTCAGCTGGAATAAAGAGATGAATGAAATTGAAACATATAAATTCACAAATTCCACCAAATAATTACTGAGGCAGGAAACACACACACACACACACACACACACACACACACACACACACACTCTAGATATATCTAATCCCATCTTTTTTTTTTTTCAGAACCAGGTAAAGTACAGAACCTTCCCAGTATGAATGCCTGGAAAAGGAATGTATTTAGAGTCTGAGGACTGGAGTTTAATTTCCTCTCTACTTTTTACTACTTCTGTGACCTTGGGAAAGTTTCTTAACTTTTCTGAACCTCAGTTTCTTCATCTAAAAATGAAGGAGGGTAGATTAGATGGTTTCTAAAGTCTTTTGCAGCTATAAATCTATGGTCATATGACCAGAAGAGATTTATCAGTTTCCCTAGACCTGCTCAGTCTAGACCTGGAACTCTTAAAGACATTTAAAATGTTTTTAAACTAAATTTTTTTTTCTTAAATAATGCTTTTTTCTCCCCATGTCTATCACTACATACTAATATAACTAGCTCTCTCCCTCACCCAACCTCCTCCCCAGTAGAAATTCTTTCTTGTAACAAATATGTATAGTCAGGCAAAACTAAATCAACATACGGGTCACGTCAGAGAATGTATATCTCCTTCTGTTCACCAACTCTTTGTGCAAAAGTGAGTGATACATTTCTTCCTCAGTCTTTTGAAGTCATGACTGCTCACTTTTTTGGGTAGAGCTCTGATTGCTTTCAAAGTTGTTTTTCTTTACTTCATTTTTATAGTCATTGTATAAATTGTTCTCCTGGTTCTGCTTATTTCACTCAGTATCAAATCATTCATATCTTTCCATGTTTCTCTGAATCTACCATATCCATTATTTCCTATGGCATATTGAAATCCTGTTATGTTCATCTACACCATAATTTGTTCAGTCATTTCTCAATTCATGGACACCTATTTTGTTTCCAGTTTTCTTTCTTTCTTTTTTTTTACCTTTTCTGAAATATTTCTTTATTACTCAACATTATTGAATAGAGCTAGGCACAACGTGATTCTCCAAAATTCTTCTGTGAACTTCAGACTATTGCACCTTCATCCATCTTTTCTTTCTTCTTTCCTGTCTGTATATATGTGTGTGTAACCACTTCTCATGGTTCACCCTTAACAGAAGTTAGTCTCATGTTCTGGACCAGGCTTCATTCAGGCCAGTTGGGAAGCTCTTGACTTAGAACTGTTCAATAAGTATAGTGATGAGGTCTAGAGGTTAGGGGTCCTGGAATCCCAAAATCACAACACCTGGCTCCTGTCTGAAAGAATTCGACCCAAGCCTTCTGGCAGCCAAAAACAAGGTTTATTGATGATTTGCCATATTAGCTAGACTCTTAAGGAATCTGAACATCTATGGGCTATTGGCTAGATTCTACGAATCGGAGCCTCCAGTTTTCTATTACAATGAAAAGTGCTGTGATTAATATTCTTTAAAAAAATTTTTATTTAGCATTTTGTTTTTCTCCATGTAATTAATATTCTTAGATATACCCACCTCTGTCATCAACCTCCTTAGGGTATACAGTTAACAGCATTATTGCAGGACAAAGGGTATAGACAGTTTAGTGGTTTTGGGGTGCAAAGTGTTTTCAAGGATAGCTGAAACAATTCATAGCTCCATTTGTGCCTGGAATTCTTTCCCTCTCTGTCTTCACATCTTCCTTGGATTCCTTCAAATCTCAACTAAAATCCTGCCTTTTGCAAGAATTTTTTCTTAATCATTCCTTAATTCTAATGTCTTCTCCCTGAGATTATATGCAATTTATCCTGTATATATCTTGTTTGTACGGTGGTGGTTTGCATATTGCCTCCTCCATCAGATTATGGGCTCCTTGAGGGCAAGGACTGTCTTTTGTGGGGTTTTTGTTTTGTTTTGTTTTGTTTTTTTGTAATTTAGCACAGGGCCTGGCACACAGTACAAGCTTAATAAATGTTTACTGACTTGTCTTGACAGTACAGTAGTACCTTCCTACAGTCTCTCCAATAATTACCATTTTTCTTCTTTTATCAGCTTTGACAATCTGATAGATGTGAAGTGGAATTTCCTAGTTGCTCTGATGTGCATTTCTCTTATTCTCAGAGATTGAATTGTTTTCATCTGGTTGTTGATAGCTTGGATTTCCTCCTTGAGAATTGCCTGTTCATAGCCTTTGACCATGTTATCTATCAGGAGACAGATCTTTTTCCTTTATATCCTGAGCCTTTTCCCTGGTCTCTATCCAAGGATGAATTCATCCTCCCTATTTCTTACCTCAAATAGACATTCAGCCTTGGATGGTTTACGACCTAAATGCTTCAACACTGAGTTCTTTCTTCCTTTCATGTTTGCGTTCTGTCCATAGCAAGCTTATTTCCCTCAGTTAATAAACCTACAGGGGGCTGGGACTGTCTGTTGGTCTGTCTGTCTATCTGTCTATGTAGCTATTCCCCATGTATGTATGTATCATCTATTCTTTCTCTCATATTTTTTTTAATGTTGTAGGTATTTAGGCAATTGATTATAGAACTGATGACTATTAGCATCAGATCAATAACATATAATCGCAGATCTAGACCTGGAGGGAACTATAGAGGTCGTCTGGTTCAACCCCTTCATTTTACAGATGAGGAAACTGAGGCCCACGGATTTGCTAATGTCATTACAAGTGTGATCTTTGATAATGCTGAGTTTCTCGTGATTGTCTAACTAGAGCATGCATCTAATTTCTTACTGATTGTACAGAAGTGTACATTTGGCTCCTATTAGATTGTAAGCTCCTTGAAGATAGAAACTATCTTTTGCCTCTTTTTGTATCCCCAGTGCTTAGCACAATGCCTGGCACATAGTAGGTACCTAATAAATGCCCTTAAGGAGAGTACGCTCTAACAAGGAGGTTATATGTACATATAAGACATGTATAGAGTCCCTGAAGGCAATCTGAAAAGAGAAGGGATTAGCATCTGGGAGGACCTGGAAAGGCTTCCTGCAGAAGGTGAGCTTTGAACTGAGTCTTGAAGGAATCCAGGGAAACCAAGAGGCAGAGATGATGGGGGAAAGTATTCCAGGCATGAGGGACAGCCGGTGCAAAGGCATTGTGAATGTAGTTGGAATGTCATGTTTGAGAACTCCCAGTAGATCCAAGTAACTGGGTCACAAAATGTGTGGGGAGAAGTAATATGTAAAAAGACTGGAAAGGTAGGAAGGAGTCAACTTATGAAGAGTTTTAAGTGTCAAATAGGTGAGTTTATATTTGATCCTAGAGGTGATATGGAGCCACTGCTGTTCATTGATGAGGGGAATGATATGATTATATTTATACTTTAGAAAAATCATGTTGGCAGCTGAATAAAGGATGGATTGTAGTGGGAAGGACATTTGGTAGGGAGACCAATCAGAAGGCAATTGCAGTAGCTGGTTGAAAAGTAAAGAGGGAAGGGTAGCTAGGTGGCTCAGTGGATAGAGCTCTGGCCTTAGGGTCAAGAGGACCTGAGTTCAAATCTGGTCTCAGACACATAACACTCACTGGCTGTGTGACCCTGGGCAAGTCACTTAACTCTATTACCTAAAAAAAGAAAGAAAGAAAGAAAGAAAGAAAGAAAGAAAGAAAGAAAGAAAGAAAGAAAGAAA